GCTCAGGGAATAACGCGGTACAAATAAATTAGATCTTGACGAAGAGCGGGTGTTATGCTCATGCATGGAACTAAGTTGAACAAAATGATTGTCAAAAGCCGCGGGTAAGTTCTGGTTGTGGAATTGATGCATGATCTTAGAGATCTCAAACTTGTGAATGTCGTGCAATTTTAATACCCTGATCTTGTGGTATAGTATGCTTAAGTTGGAACGAATGGGTGCTCTAGTGAGAATTCTAATGGCCCTGTTTTGTAGGACCTCTAATTTATACAAGTTTGATTGGGAGGCAGCTCCCCAAGCAGCTATAGCATATTGTAAATGGGATTGGAAAGGGCAAAATATACAGTTCGCAAAGTTGCGTCTTGTACATAGTGCCTGAGCTTTCCCAGAGTCCCTACCGATCTTGGAAGTTTTCTGTGTAATTCAGCAGTGTGGGTGTTCCATTTTAACTGGCTGTCGATATGAAGGCCCAGATATTTGTACGAGTGGACAACTTCGAGAGTGATACCATTTATTTTGATCGAGATGTTTGCATGTCTAGTACGAGTTTTGGGGGTGAAGAACATCACTTTAGATTTATCCACATTCACTGTAAATTTGTTACAAACCATCCAATCATATATTTTTTTAATTTCAGAGTTTACTTTACTGTCTTGGAGCGTATTCAAATCGTTTGAACTGTCAAGCAAACAGGCATCGTCAGCAAAAAGTTTGGTCAAGAAGTTGGAGGAGGACGACAGATCATTTATTGCGACGAGGAAAGCAAGCGGTCCCAATACAGAACCTTGAGGAATTCCACAGTGGATGGGGAGCATCGGGGACCTATCGGAATCCACTTCGACAAATTGTTGTCGACCGAACAGGTAATCGCAAAATAAGTTGCCTGTAGCACCTCGAAAACCATAATGTCTCAGTTTGTGTGAGAGAATGGTGTGATTGAAGGCTTTTTTAAGATCGAAGAAAATACAACAAACAAATTTTCCTTTATCCAGTTTATCGCAAATATAAGAAATTAGGTTGAGAATAGCGTGGTTGGTCGAGTGATTGGTTTGGAATTCGAATTGACATTTGTTGATTAAGTTGAATTTGGTACAAAAATTGAGCATTCTGCTGTGCAATAGTTTTTCTAAGATTATGCCAATTAGGGGTAGTATTGAAATTGGTCTATAATTTGAAGGATCATTATTACTACCATTCTTAAATATTGGTACCACTCTTAATTCCAATCTTAAGTGAAGAAGGGAAGGTACCTAATCTAAATGACGCGTTGAAAAAATGACTTAGTGCTGGTGAGATAATATCAGCGACAGATTTGAGAATGTGGGATGGATTACCATCAGGTCCAACAGCTTTTCCTATTTTCAGGTTCGCTATAATTTGGAAGACCTCTGAAGGTGACGTAAGAACATAGTATGACATGAGCATATCAAAATACACGGCAGCGGAATTACTATTGGTGTCGAGTAGGTTGATGTTAAAATCACCCAGTATTACAAAACTTTTTTTTGTCATTGCGAGTTTTTCGAAGAGGCGAGCCATTGCTAGGGTAAACGATGGAATATTACTTCTCGGATGGTTGTAAATTATTCCAATCATGAGACTCTGTGTAGTTTTGAGTTGGGCTGTGAAAACTTGAGCTCGATCCACATATCCTCACAGTTAGGGAACGCTAAGTCAAGGTCACGAACTATTTGGAAATCTAAATGATTTTTGATGTAGACATCCACACCACCCGCCTGAGTTGGGGAGGGGACATGGAAAAAAGTATACCCTGAGATGTCTACATTAAGAAATGTGGTCCTATTATTGATCCGTGTCCCACTTATAGCAATCACATGAGGGAGGAAATGAAAATTCGAAGTCAGTTCAATTAGATTGTCAACATATTTTGCTAGCGATCTGATGTTATAATGTATTTGAATAAGGTCTGATGGTAAAAACCTGGAGGAAACCTCATTGACATCAGTTATTTCGAGGTATTGACTGGACATTGTATCATCAAAAGGATTAATAATAGCTGATTCCCAGTTGGAGGGATAGGTGGCTAAATCATTCACAGGGAGCATTGGTTATGACCAAGTGTGAATGAAATAAAAGAGGAAATGACATTAAATATAAAATGTATGAATATACAAGAAACTACATGCATTACGTTATCGAATAAGTGGGAAAGGGCAGTTGAAAAAAGTGGACAGTAACTCAAATTTGACAAAGTAGGGCAGAAATACATTGTAATAGAGTATTATTTGTTTAAAATGTTTGCACTTATCTGATCTTCTCTAAATCTTCTTCACTATTTACTGATAAGGTGTTAGTATCTTTATTTTTTTTCACCAAAACCTTTCCATTGGATGTCCACAGAAAAGCGTATCCGCAACGTTTTCCCAGGACTTTTGCTTGATAGAATAGATTTTTATTCCTGTCTGTTAGATTGTCGACAATGAAGGTTTTTGATGAATTTGGGATACATGTTGAATTTAAAGCAGATTTGATCAGGTGGCGATCCTTTATAATTTTATTTCGGATCTTTCTGTTTGTAAAAAATTATGGGTTGGTGGATATTGGAGTTATGTGTGGGAGAACGGTGGGTAATCGAGATATCGCAGGGTTTGATGTCAACCTGTATCATTTTCCCCATCTCCATCACCAGTTTGTCAGTGTCCTCATTTAGTGCAGGGGCAAGGCCATGGAACTTCAAGTTATTCAATCTTGAGCGCCTTTCTTGTTCTTCTACTTTTTTGGTAGTATAGAACAGTTCATCCTTAAGGTCATAAACTAGGTCTTCAAGTTCCCGGATTCTTCACCCTTTGTTTTAATTAAGACGTTGAATGTAAGCGTTTTCAATGGGACATTGTACCATGGGGTGAAAAAATCTGAGTTGTGAAATCGTCGTATTATGAATAATTGGAGCACATATTTGTAAAACTTTCATTCGAACGTTGCGTGAATCGATGACTACTTCGAAAATAAGTTGCATGATCACCAAAAGCACAAAGATGCAAATGGTGGCCGAATTCCACGTAATACCTAAATAATAAAAAAAACTTTTTGTGCATCGTGCGCTTAGGTTAAAAGACTGAAACCTAATACGCGGTGTTGTGTAAATACTACCATCGAATTATATTATTATTTTAAATATTATGAAAGCGTTACTACCGTCGAAGTCTCAACGTTGTTATTTTTTACGAATGAACGATTCAACCTCCGAAACTAAGTGACCGATTGTAAAGAGACTTTTGGAGATAAAAAGCGCAAAAAAAAATACATAATTTAAATACGAACCAAGCAAAAGCTAATTTTTTACTAGCTCGCTCAATAACTATTGTTTCCTCAATAAGGTTCAATTAGGTGTTTAATTACGGGCAATAAAGCAAGGTCGTCTGGCAGTTAGTTAAATGCGGCATCGTTTTTTAGAATATGCTGTATTTTATCAAATATTCAAACACAATAACCTAATGAAGATATGTTCGATCTGTTTCTACATTCTTCTATTCAAACTTCTGAGAAGTTTAGATGAAATGAATTACTTAGATGAGAGGTGTGCAACCTTTATTACAGGAGGGCTAGATAAAAGTAACTGGGTGAAGCCGCGGGCAGCATTTTTATTGAACATAGTCTTTCTGGTAGCTTCAGACACCAAAAATTGTTTCTTTTTGTTATTGATTGTACGGCAGTGTTAAGGGACCTTGCACGAATGGTGAGTTAAAACGCTTAAATTGTTGAATAAACTGCTATTCAAATTTATTATCACACCGACTTTAAACGAATTCAGTGAGAAATACGTTTTTATAACATTGTGTAGTATGCAACAGGATATTGCTCGCTAGTTTTGCTAATATGACTGCTATAGGCTACTACGTAATGAGATTGAAATTGCTCGCACTTTCCAGATTAACTAAACCAAAAACTCGTTTTTTTTGGGCAGAACATTGGCACTTCTCCGCGGGCCGCACATTTTTTCTTGCGAGCCGCATTTGGCCCGCGGGCCGTAGTTTGCACAGCCCCGACTTAGGGGCCAATATTGCAAATTTTTTATTCTTAAAAAAATGTAAGATAAACTTAATTGTGGATAGTACGTTATTAGACATTTACGTTTTGAAATTAACGTTATCATGAGTTGTTGAACATGTCGAAGATAAGTGTGATGCGATGTAGGATGTGTGCAAGCTGATGAAAGGCGGAGGAAAGAAGTTTCTACTTGGTTATGTTACTTGGTTTCATAACATTCGCGTATGATAACGATGACGAGCACATTCCCAGTGCTGTATAGGCTTTGATATAGAGGCAATGCTTTCGTATGGCATTGTGCTATCGTAAGCTATAACTAATGAATACACACACAATCCATTATGACCGAGGAACGGTTTTCAGAAGTCAAATATATGCGGAAGTGATAGACTGACTCAGAGTATAGTTGAACCACTCATAAGAAAGACGTAATAATTTACGTGTATTTTTTATGATTGTATGTAGAGCACGTTTCGAGAAAAGTTGGTAATTTAATAATAGTAACAGTTTGTAGTAGTGGAATTATTTTGAAATGCGAATGAAAGAACTTACGTATAAGTTAGGTAGTTATCACTGTATCAAAGTATTCTCGTGAAAAGATGTTTCAATGCTTTCGCTTCACACCATGTACATGCCCTGCTGCTTGTAATTAACCATAAGAAAGACTCATGGATATTGGGGAAGAAGTATATTAAAGACTGTGCAGTCTTTAGCCAACAACTATCTATGATCAACATGAAAACCGAATATAGGATTGGGCGCATTGATGTAGTTGGGCATACTGGTGAAAAGACCTATCTACTGCTTCATAAAAAATTCATTCTTTCCACGTCTTTCGCCGTTATTCAAAATATTGCTTTAAGAATTGGAACTGTGATGATTATCACGTCCATGTACTTGATTTGCTTTGCCAATAACTAAGATATATTATCCATTTTCATAGCTATATGTTTATTTTTTATACTAACATTGAATAACTAATATTTTAATCAGAAAGAGATGAAAAATTGGAATTAGGGTGTAATATTTAAGTTGACCACAAATGTCAAAAACTGTGTCTTTCGAATAATAAAGATGAATCCTTCTGTTTTGGTGATAATTGTCTCGATTATCATCACAAGTGCTTCAGCCCAAGGTTAGTTGAATATTGTATGAATAAACCCATTTGCTTTTTTCCTGTCCAACATTTTGTTTATGAATGGGTTTCTTTCTCTCGGACAAATGCAAATGTTTCTATAATATATGAGAAAACCTCAGCTCATATGCCTCAAATATCATGTTAATAAATGAGAATTGTTATTTATTCAATTGTTCAAATTTGAATCTGATTACAATTCCAGATACCGTTGTGTTTCAGATCCCTGGAGGAAAGAATGTGTTGATGGGTTTGAACTGCTTTTCTTCAAACAAAGTAAAACTTACAACAGCGCCAAATCTTCCTGTGAGGGATTGGGAGGCTACTTAGCTAAAGTTGATAATGAGAGAATGACGACAGTCATTAATTCAGCATTCGAGTGAGTTAAAAAGAAACTAATTTTTGATATCTTGGTGTTATATAATATGTGAATTGTTCTATGTGTTGAATGAAACTTTAGCACTAAATAGATGAAATTGATTATCTCACTGTTATTTGTACCATCTCAATGTAGATTAAACACTTATTATATGCGTGAGTTGAAATAGGATATGGTTTGTACAGTGATGTACGAGAGCTAAAGATTTATTTTACTTATAGGAATTATGTTGAAGGATCGGGATAATTCCAAATATGTACTTCATTATTTTCACATTATAATCGTAAAATCAGCCTCACTATTTTGTTAATTTCTACACAGCAATTTATTTACCTTGGATATGCTGTATTGAAGCTAGTAGTTATTCTTAAAAAGAATGAAAGCAAGAATCGATGAAATTTTCATAGCTTACAAGTTCGTATATTTGAATAAACTTGAACGAAAACTGTCATACGCAATGAGTTTTTCACTAATTACTAATTAAACATATACATTCAAATTTGCAAATCTCACCTAAACACCAGAATTAACTGTGGATTCAGCATTTTTTAATACTACTTTGCTTCTTCACACAAAGGCTATTTAGGTATCTTGGCGCGTCCGTGGTATGTTTCAGCTCTTCTCTTAGTCGTTTTCTCAATTTTTAAACGATGGTTCCGTTATTTTCTTTAAAAAAACTGATAAGGTTTTTAAATTCTCAGCATACGAGGTGGTGATAACACTTTCTATATCGGTGGAAACGACATAGCTAACGAAGGAGATTGGAGGTGGCAGGATGGTACTGATGTGATCATGAAAGAAGAAATAGGATATCAAAACTGGTGTGTTTCTCAACATTATTTAAAAAAGTTACAAAAGAATTTAATAAACAATATATTTTCTGCGTGAAATAGTTTTCAGAACTTGTATACCACGCGGTATTCATTATTATCAGTATTATAGTAAAGAGAAATACCACGGCAAAACTTCAATAATGCTATTTATTATCCGTCGTAGTCAAATTCATTTTGTCGGAGGTGAAATCCTGACAAACCTCACTAGCTATATGTTAGGGGCAATTGAATAAACTATGCCAAGCAAAAACTTAGTCTAATTTCATATGTAGTATATCAATACTTCCCCTGTTCGAAAAATATTTGGGAGCTATATCAGCGTAACAACTTGTCACTAACTATTTCTTACATTAAATGCTTAGAGCCTGCATAATTTTTAGAATATTTTTTTCGGCTTCTAAATTTATCAGGAAATCTAATCAACCAAATGGTGAGACTACACAAAATACTGTTGTTGAAGACTGTTTGGTAGTTGGAAGAGAAACGTATCGGTGGGTTGATATATCTTGTGATGCAAACTTCTACTACATTTGCCAGAAAGGTAAGATTAATTGATTTTTCGTGCTCAACTGGAGGTAAAAAAACGTAACAAGTTGCATAGCTCCTATCTAAAGAAACAATAGAGCAAAACTCAAACATATGCACACGAAGTTCAAACATAATATTTTAACAACAATTCCACAAAAATCATACGATATTATGAAGGAAGCTTGAACTGTGGAAAAGCTATAGTACCCAGAACACTACAGTAACTACCGCACTGTCCCAGCAAAACTCAAATATATCAATTTCCTGTCCAATAAGCTAGTACTTAATTATTGATCGTAAATTAAATACGAATTGAAATAGATTGTCAAATTAGGAATATTCAATTGGAACTGATCAATACAGATCACATATACAAGGATTCGATACAAGTATTGTTTTTCGGTGCCACTGAATGCTTTTAATAGAATTATTGGGCTTCAATCACTTAATTCAAATTGTGTTACAAATAAAGTTGCACTAACAGTATTATATCAAAAATGTTTTTTTTATTTGCTAAAAATATAATGAAGGTACTTTCAATGTTCAGTGTTTCTGCTTGCATGAACCAAAGTAATCAACCTAGTTTTTCTTATTTTAAAAAAATTTGTGTTATTTAAGGCTTCAAATTTCACAAATTCTGCTTCAGTGTTTCAGGGCCCTTTTGTTAGAATACAAACTATTAACGGAAACCAGATAAGGTGTTCTGCAACAGACTGTAGTACTGCAACACAAGTTGAATGGCGCAAAGCATCTAACAAAGTATCAACCGCAACTACACGGGGAGTTTATCAAACGATACAAACTGGATCAGCAACCTTCAATCTTCAAAACGCAAATATTGCAGATGAAGGGTCTTATACTTGTTATTTTCGAAACGGCAACAGTTGGAAACATGGTAAAACAGAATCTTATGAAGGTGAATATAAATACAAATATCTGCTTTTTGTAATCTCTGCCTGCTATGTTTTTGGTATTTACTTTACAGTGACTGGAAATCCCACAATCTATCAAATATCAAATACCGAATGCAATTCTAACTTGATCATCTCATGGCAATCACATATAAATGCTGTTGGATTCCTACACAAGTGAGTTCATCTTTATGGATAATTTGATATACCCACAAGATATAGTTTATATGTCATCTTTTACATGGAACAGGCCTCTAGAAAAATCCGAGTGAATACTTGTTTTGACCACAATGTTAAAAAACGGCTGAAGCTGCTCGATTTACATTGTTAAATTTACTAAAGGTATTACTAAAAGTCAAAACGTAAATCTGTCATGCTGGTCACGACCCAATACCATTACGCATATTGCTACCCGTTGCTACTTGCATTAATGCCAGCGTAAACTCACATCTGTTTTACAGGATAGAAGTAAGTCCGACCTCAGGCGGATCAACAAGATGGGTGGATTCAACAACATCTGAGAAACAGTCAACCACAATAACCAGTTTGTCGCCAATCACAACCTATACAATCAAAGTAAACAATAACGATTTATTATATTGTTCACATCGATTGTTCCGCACTTATTTTATGCGAATATTTGTGGACGAAGGTCTCTCTTTTCAAGATCGCCCTTACTTGTAAGGCTAAATTAGTTTTCTGCCCCATTTAAACTTTCGTTATTGAAATGCCTATATAAATTACTTTTGTCAGATAACTGCATGTGTAACAAAAGATAACTGTCCAACCAAATATTCTACTTTCCGAAACGCAACAACAGAGGGAGCAATGTTATCTGCAGAATCGTCGTCTATTATACAATACAAAAATACACAAACTTGCGTCATCTCTTGGATCTTATCTAACAATACAGAGACTGGTGATTCATATACTGTGGTAAGACACTATTTTTATTTTGACTCAAATTATTCGAAACACACAGCTTTGGTTGAATGTATGTCAATTGAATTTAGAATCCATACGTGTATCAAAAAGTCCACATTGAGTCGTGAAATTTGACTGTTTATACTTACGATCGTAGATCTGTTTTGGTCCGCTGATATAAATTGCACATTTGTTTTTTGTTTATTAGTAATTTATATCCAATTCATATTCCACTCAGCTGAAAGGTTTTACGTTTCCTTCAACATCCTTATTTGGCATCAATTTTCAGGGCATTTTTAGTGACTTTGTGATGTAATTTCTTATCTGATGATTTAATAGGAACTGAATCTAACTTCAATCCTGGCTTCCTCACGAGATTCAAACTTGAAGACAGACATGAAACTAATAAACGTGACGTCATCATCCGTGTATTCGTTTCAACCAGAATCAAATCGTAACTATTCCGCTTCAATCAAAATATTCAGTTGTGCTGGATTTGGTCAAGTTCTATCTGTTACTGGCAGTTGTCTCGGAAAACCTAGAGGTATATTCAGAATTCAATGTTTGTGAATTCAATTTTGTAATCACTAATCTACTCAACAACTCTAATTGAACCAATTTATGCGAAGTTGTGTAAGTCATTGCGTTCTAAATATGTATCAATTTTCAAATTGAAACGATAATTTGACACATTTGCAGAACGCAGTTTGCAGCAAAAGCGTAAATAATAATGCAAAAATCAAGGATATCGTAATGCCTTTGACTAAATACTGTCTTGTATTTTAGCTCCCACAAAGGTTTTTCCGCCTGATAGTTTTGAAGATAACCTAGTTAGCAGAGTATGTGGATTCAAAAAACTCGGAATACAAGCACCAGATGAGACTAATGGCCTTGTCAGGTAAGCTAAATGCAACAGAGTAGAAAATAATATATCGACAATAAAGGTAGTACATTCATCTTCCTATTAGCCTGAAAAAAAAATCAACTGAGCCTGTTCATATATCATATTGGGTATATTATTCCTCTCCTGTACCAATATAATCACTCGGCTTATTAGACACGAAAATTCTGATTAATTTTGATTAGTATCTTTTTACAATATGAACTTTATTCTTCAACAAAACAAGGTACAATTTCTGTTATTGTATAATCTATTAATTTACAGTTGCATATTCGTACTTGTACGCACAAATTTGAAGGAACACGACGTGGCCTTCTCCTTGACTGACATGATAAATATTAACAACACAGAGAGCGGTGATAAGTACATTGCTAAAGCAATACCTGTTTCAAGGTTGTAAATAGTTTTTATTTATAGAAAATTATATTACGTGAATATTTAATTAGGCGTTTTAGTTAAACATGAATTGTAGAATTTGTCTGAAATATGAAACATAAGAAAATTATTGAAAGTTTATTGGCGATATTAAGATTAACTAATCGGATAAAAGATTTGTTCGCAATCGGTACCAGGGTAATATATCAGGACAACGGCGATATTTCGGTATAAATTTATAAGATTTTTGACGTTGATTTTTTCTAAAAACTATAACGAAACGCATTGTACTACGAATACTTTACTCCAATACTTTTCGGCTATAGTATAGGCATACAACGCACATGCAAGAAGAAACTTTGATACTGCATATGTTCGTACCACCATAGATGTATTTTGAAGAGTTTCAATGTGTATATACCTGTATGCGTCGTTGCAACGCGATTTTTCTATTGTCTCGAGCAGCAGCGGTATTTCCTGCATAACATATCATATTCTACATTGAATAAAATATTTTAGCATGAACGGTAAGCGAATGAATATTTCACTCGGTGATGAATCAATGACAACATGTGACGTAATAAATATCGGAAAAGCAGGGATACAAAATGAACAAAGTTCTGGAAAAGGAATTCTATTCACAGGAAGGAACAAAAAATTAGATAAAAAGATGTTCAGGTATTCTATATATATCTTAGGGTCAAATAGATCATCATAGACTTTTAATTTTCTAATTGGAAGTTTTGGTATTAATATAATGCTATTTCAAAACCGACAGACAGTAAAGATATATGTTAACGTCAAATTGATTGATTTACTTATTTAATGGTGCTATCAAATCAAATATAATATATACGTATTTCATTTGAGAAAATTATTTCCGCAATGCATAATATAACTTATTTTACTTCAGTGTCTCGATAGTTTATTCTACGCCCTCTGGTGACCAAATACATTTCAGTCAAAGCCCCTCTATAACGTTAAAACAAGATGAACAAGAAATTACTGCTAAGAACGATACCGGTAAGAATAACAAATATTCAGATTTGGTTAATTCAAAGCCAGATTATGAAAAAAATTAGCAAACTTCAAACAACACAACATAACAAGCAAACAGATATGAGAATTAAAAGAAGAATAAAGTGTTCTTTTATCGTGAACGTTAGATACTATCATTGTAATTCTAGAGATGATGTTTCTCATTTTAATAAAACTATAATCCCAAAACCTCTAAATATCAACGGGAAATCAGAGTAACGTATTTGTTTTAGAGAAAGGAGCGTTCGAGTTCAACATCATCAGTTTTGTGATTGGTTTTCTCATTCCTTTCGTCTTCTTGGTCGTCTCTGTCTGGATCATATACAAAATGAAGAAAGAAATAAAGAATTTGGAGGAAAAGGCAGAAGTGAAAGAACACAATTACGAAACTATAAAAGAAAAAGGTAGTGAGAATTAATCAGAACTGATGTATAAAATATTATTCCCATACAAATCAAATTCAAAGTGTCATTTAAAGTGTATAAACACAACAGAACACGGTCACGATAAAAGTTGTAACTCCACTTCAATGATAAACACATGCCATCAATGTTAATGGGATAGAAAACTTTTATCAATCAATAAATGTTCTAATAGTGGGGCAATACAATTTGTATACCTCGCATTTATACAAAATTGGAATGCCACCTCAAATAAAAAATAAATAAAATTAACGCCCTACTAGGAGTCACGCCCATTAGATTACTAAAAATTTGAAAGAGATTGGTCTGTGAACATACCTTCTATGAAGTGATGGAAAAAACTGAGATATTTTATTTAAATAATTAATAATTTAACACACTGTCCACCACAGGTTTACATAGATCTGATTTCTATCAAATTCTAAATCGAATTTTAATTGTTCTGTGGTTGATAATTTCATTTTTTCAATTAATTAGCAACTCCTTCCAACAATCCAGCTTCACAACCATCATATTCAAATGTTTTGCAAGAAACTGCCGGATACGAACAACCACTTCCTGCAACAACTCAGCAAACACAAGTGGAATCAGCTTACGAACAACCATCATCATCAAATGTCCTGCAAGAAACTGCCGGTTACGAACAAGCTCTGCCTGCGACAACTAAGCAAACACAAGTGGAAACAGCTTACGAAACTTACAACGCCTGATGAATTTCAGCTAAGCAGTACCTATTAGCATATTACAATATGTAAAAATGTCCCAAACATGTTGTTTTTTGACAAAACAATAGGTAAACTTGTTATATACAAGGCCGTTGATGTTGAAGTAGCCAATCATGTTGTTGTCGCTTGTCTCCTCCATGCCATAGAAGGATCAACGCAATTATCTGTCTCATGTATTTTCTATGCAATATTATAAACGACTTGTTGGTTAGGTTAGGTCTGGGTATCTTATTATAATGCAACTATAAAAATTAGAAACCCTCACTCGAAAAGTTTACTCATTTTGTCTTGTTCGTTATAATTTTCATGCCCGACAACTAATACGCATATACTATGAAATAGGAAAGTTTTATAGTGTCATTTCCATGAATGAAGGAATTCTCATTGTTGACTGAAAATAGAAAACAAAAATGGAAGAATGTTTTTTTTGACTAACAATAGGCCATTATTCTCATACTAATCAGATGATATGTCTAAAAATGCACACATTTCATTCGTCACGTGTTTACGCTGGTACGTGATGTGCCTCTCTGTAATTATACAGATCGTCACTAGTTGACGCTGGAGACTTTTATTCACCAGGTCCTGCAAATGCTTACAGATATATATATATAGGTCCGTTAATATGTGAAATTATTTTAACTGACTACTGCAATCAAGAAACCTGTGGTGTGAACAAGAATTTCGCTTATCATAACTAAAATCAATATTAATGATATTAATAATATTATTAATATTACAATGATATTAATCAGTTTTAAGCGATATTGCATAAATTAAACTATTGGCAGAGTCGTGTTAAACCTCCCTGTGCTGCCTATGTGATATTCCAAATTTTTCGTAAATATAGGAAGACGTGAATTAAGAGTGACAGACATACATATTAAATTTATATTTGTTCATTATATTCTTCAACAATATGTTATTAATATCTTATATTGATATTGTATATACGGAAAAAAATACAGTTCGTTTAGCATTGCATGTCTTATGAAAAAAGTAACTCAATGCAATGTGGGTTTGGACTTTATTTACGCGGTATCACTACTGTTTGTACCGTTTTACAGTCGTCCAAAGACAGCCCAATCTAGTGATTTTGTGATAGACTATAGTTTCCTGTTCGACACAAAAAACTAGTAACGTTGTGAATCGTTTACGTTGCTTCACCTGGTAGTAGTAAGTCCGGGGCAGGATAGCGAAATATTAGTGCGTGGAGTGCTAATTCATGATATGACTACTGTGCCAGAATGTGAAAAATTCTTTCCTAAAGTGCTGTTTTGGTCAATTGCTGCGATGGTGTTGTGATTTGATGCGGGTATTGAGCTGTTTTTCTCTGGGGCACAGATGGTGGGACCTGTCCAGTTCTTGTTAACTTGATCGATTCATGTAAGTCGGTGGAGTTAGTGGTGTTTTGAATGTTGCGCGAAAACGGTAGGCACTGGGGCTTGGTACCGGTTGAGTGTCGAGGTTTAGTTTGGCCAAACTGTGGTCAGACATACGTTCTTTAGATCGATTATCTTGATAACAATTTCTACACCGAGAGTGTACCGGAATTCGCTAACACTACGCCACAAGTAACAAAGACAAACCAGTATTGTTATCACATCTTAATGTAACGCGCAACAGCCCACAACAGCAATTTAGTAAAACTCTTTGAAAATTGACAGAATCAATTGAGATCCCACGAAAAGTACAGCACAGTCTTTTTTTATAAACTGTTTTCAATAAAAAATTAACTCAACTTTGTAAGTTCTGTAAAACTACGATTAACGAATTTTAATTTTGCCAAGATGTCGGACAAGCATGGCGTAATCTGACATAAACTACAAGAAAATTCGAATTCGTGCTCTGGTGATCAGATTCCACGAAGACCTATTGCTAACACATTTATTAAGAATAGTTGTTTATTCCACTTTTTGCATGTGTTGGTTTCGAAATGACGAAGATTTATCAAGTCGTGCTGCGGACAAATATTACCGGTATTAAGGTCAAATTTCACACTTTTTTGTAATTAAAACTCAAGTCATACAATTTCAAAAAAAAAGTAAATAGGAGCGAATAATTCAATAATTGTAAGACTTTGAATGTTGTTAAAACGAGAGCATGAATACAAGGGTTTTGTAGCCTAAACTTGGGGAATGCGTGTGGCATCTCTGTTATCCACTGAAGTACTAGATGAAGCAATACAGTGATCATATACAGACAATCCTACATTCTTTAAGATCTCTGTTTTTCCCAAAGTTCGTTCGAGCGAAACTCCATCCTCGCACAAAATATTTAGCATTCTCGAAAGTGTAAGAAATGGAACGTGTTTTTTAGAAACAATAAACGATCCGAAAGGTTGTGATAAACCATAAAAAGACACTTCATCATTTCATGAAAAGGCCTTATAAACTTATTGTCTGATAGCTTTTTCGAGAAATATCGTTTCCTCGATAGAATTCAATTAGGTGTTCAATTACGTGCAATAAAGCGATGTCGTCTTGCAGTTAGTTCAATGCGGCATTCCTTATTCAGAACTCGATGTATTTTCAATATGGAAGAAAACAACTTAATAATAAAATATGTTCCTACATTATTTTGAAGTAAACCTCTATCATAACGGCATAGATGAAGGTAGGGAGTTAGTCTCGTTTACCTCAAACCTCTTCTAGCTGGTAAGAATTACTTGTCTTAGATGACAATAATGCAAATTTGTTAAGTGATTTGTTATCGAACATGTCGAAGATCTGTAGAATACAGTGTATGGTGGGTATGTTGAGATTAGATCTTAATTGCATTTGGGGAGGGGGGGTTGATGCTATAGGTACACACTAATGAAAGACAGTGGGAAACAATTTCCACTTGTTTATGTTATTTGGTTTTCATAACATCCACTCATGACAACGATGCTAAGCATAATCACAATGCAGTGTTTGCATAACAAGTATAAAGGCAATACTTCCATAATTATGGAATTGTGCTATTACATCAGGTATAACTGATGCATGCACACACAATCCATTGTGACTGAGGAACGGTTATTGGAAGTCAATGTCTCCGTGCGTTTGTAACTCTTTTGTTAGATGAGAAGTGGTAGACTGACTCAGTGAACCATCTCAGTTCAACACCCATACGTGACAACTTACGTCCATTTTTCATGATTGTATGTAAAGCCGGTTTCGTGAAATGTTGGTACGGTAATAATAGTAGCAGTTTGGGGCAGTAGAATTATTTTAAATGTGAATGAAGAAGCTTACACATATATCTTGTAGTTATCACTGTATCGAAGTATTCTCCAGAAAAGGTGTTGCAATGCTTTCGCTTCATATCAGGTGCAGCCAGTACTGCTTCTGGTAATTTACCATAAGAAAGACTCATGGATATCGCCGCAATGTCGAAATATATAAAAACCAGTTCAGTAAACGAACAACGATCTGTGATCAACCTAAAACTGAATATATATAAGGAGGGGCGAATTTATGTAGTTGGGCATATAGGTGGAAAGGCCGATCTTCTGCGTCACGAAGGTTCAAGTCAGTCGGCGTCTTTCGCCGTTATTTATAATATTGCCTCAACAATAGGAGCTGTGATGTCTATCACGTCAACGTAATGGAGTTGCTTGATATATATTTTTTGGCATCAAATTAATTATATTTTGTATATTGCAGTTATGATAATTGAAACCAAAACGACCTAATCAAAAAGAATTAAAAATTAGGTTGTAATATTTAAGTTGACCACGAATGTCAAAAACTGTGTCCTTTGAATAATAAAGATGAATCTTACAGTTTTGGCGATATTGTTTTCAATCCTCATCACCAGTGCTTCAGCTCAAGGTTAGTTGAATCCTGTTGAATTTATCCTGTCAAACATTTTGTTCATAAATAGGTTTCTTCTCTCTGACAAATGAAATAGCTTCTTATAATAAATGAAAAAAAAACTCATCTATTAAAAGTACTGTATATATTAATTTAGTCTCTCTGTCAAATTCCTTGTTAATAAATGAGATTTGTTATTTATTTAGTTGTTCAATTTTGAATTCGATTACAATTCCAGATACTGTTGTGGTTCAGATCCTTGGAAGAAAGAATGTATTGATGGGTTCGAACTACTTTTCTTCAAACAACGTAGAAATTACAACAAGGCAAAATCTTCCTGTGAAGGATTGGGAAGTTACTTGGCTAAAGTTGATAATGAGAGATAACGACAGTCATTAATTCAGCATTCCCGTGAGTAGAAATTTATTTAGTTCATTTTTTGATATCTTGGTGTTATTTACTATAGTAATTACTCAATGTATTGAATTGAACTTTAGCACTAAACAGGTGGGTTTGATTATCTCACTGTTGTTTGTACCATCTCAATGTAGATTTAACACTTATTATATACGTGAGTTGAAATAGGATATTGTTTGTACAGTGATATACGAGAGAGAGATTTATTTTACTTTTAGGAATCATGTTGTAGGATCGGGATAATATGTACTTCATTATTTTCACATTATAATCGTAAAACCAGCCTCAGTATTTATGTTAATTTCTACACAGCGATTTATTTACCTTGGATATGCTGTATTGAAGCTAGTAGTTTTTCGTAAATAAAATAAACGCAAGAATCAATAGAATTTCTATAGCTTACAAGTTTGTATATTTGAATAAATTGAAGCAAAAACTGTTCTTTACGCAATGGGTTTTTCAGTAATTACTGAATAACAAGTACATTCAAATTTGCAAATCACACGTAAACACCGGAACTAACTGGTGATTTTTGATTACGGGCTACGTGGCATAATCAGCGCTTTCAATAATACTTTGCTTCATCACATAAAGGCTACTTAGGTATCTCGGCCCGTCTGTGATCTAATCAGCTCTCTCAGTCAATTTTTTAATTTTCAATTGATGGCTCCGGTCTCTTAAAAAACTAATAATAAGGGTTTTATATTCTTAGCATGCAAAATGCATATAACACCTTTTCATCGGAGGAAATGACATAGCTAGAGGAGGAGATTGGAAATGGCAGAATGGTACTGATGTGATAATGATAGGAGAAGTGGGATATCAATACTGGTTTGTTCATAAACTTTATTTAGGAATGTCTCAAACAATAAAAACAACATACCGTATGTGCTGCGAGAAATAGTTTTATAAACACGTATACCATGCAGTATTCAGTATTCTCAATATTATAGTAAAGAGAACTACCACGGCATGACTTCAATGATGATATTCCCTCACTACCGTAGTTTAATTCATTTTGTCGGTTGTGAAAGGATGACAAACGTCACTAGATTACAATTACGGGCAATATGATAAATTAAGCAAAGCTGCAATTGATTTTAACTTTATATTCAATATATCAGTACTTCTCCTGCTTATAGATAATGGTTAGCCGTATCTGCGCAACACCTTGACAATAACCATTGCTTAGAACGCGCATAAATTTTATACTTAATTAATACGGCTTCTCAATTTATCAGAAAATTTAATCAGCCAAATGGTGGGACTGGTAAAAATTGTCTGACAGTCGGTAGAGAAACGTATGAGTGGGTTGATATACCCTGTGATGAAAACTTCTACTACATTTGCCAGAAAGACAATATTCAGTTGTTGTTTTTTAATTAGGAAAAAATGTATCATTAATATTTTTCATTCGATGACATTAATTAGATGGCTATGGTTTTAGAACGGAATTGTGCGACTCGTCCTCATGTTAATATTTTTATGGATTTTCCAGCTCTTTCATTAATTTGAACAAGTGGTCTGAATATGCAAGGTTGCTCAATTGAAGGTAAGGGGAACGTATCAAGTCGCATAGATTTTACCTAACGAAACAATAGAGCAAAACTCAAATATATGTACACGAA